AGTAAGTGGCTCATTCTACTCAATTTAATTTTTACAGTCACTAGTGAAAAGGAAAAAAAAACAAAACCTACTTCATTTTATGATGTTCAACATAAAAATACAATTTAATGAAGATTTGACTATCTAGTCCCCTGATAACCAATGAAAGCAAAGGCAATATGCTTAGCTATATTAATGCTTTGTTACCATGATGAACTCTTCCACTTCTACAGAATTCAGGGGGCTAAGATTTTATAGGTAATATATGCAGCTACATTTTCTTACATCCTAGACGAGAGGAAACATTTTCTTTAAGTTCGATAGTAACATTTATACATCTCAAGAGAAATCAAGTCTGGCTATCTATTTGTATTACAGTACTACTGATGTACAACTAAAAAAAAAAGTATATTTTAATCTGTATTGAGGAATTTAAATTATACTATTGTGGCTTGCTGTTCAACAAGTCACTCTAGGATGCAGATCTGTAAAGTTTAAATAATTCAAAAATAAAAGTAGCAAATTACATTCATCTGGAGAATGATAATGTAAAATGTGACAGAATAACGATCCTTTTCTGATTTCTGGCTCTAAATATATTCCCAAAACAGTAGACACCATGACCCAATATAAATGGGCCAAGTAACAAAAGAATCTAGCTGCAAACCAACCCTCAAACAAATGAGAAAGTAAAATTAAAAAATCAAATACAACCAACTTCCTGATCAATAAAATGTTCCCCAGAATTTAAGGAGATGGAGGGTTTTTTAAAGAACCACCACATCATCCACACATTATAAATTGCACTGGGGACAGTTGTGCATGCTTAAAAGCACTGCCCTGCACGTTATCAAGTGACTATTTCTATTTTCATTTAAATACAGAAGGGCTTTTAATAATATAATTCTATAGACCTACAAAGCACTATAGCATAAGCACTTCCAATTCACATCTAGATGTTCTATTTGTTTATTCCTTATGATCTTGTCTCCCTCTAGTGACTGGCCCTCACAAAAAGGTACTTGTACCTCTATTCAGACCAGTATGCAGAACCAGAGGATAATCCAGGCTGGAAAGGACCTCACGAGGTCTCTGTTATGAACTTCCCCTCATGGAATTTCTCGTTTGCCCTGGTAGAAACATTCGCTACCAGCTGTTTGCAGTCAAAGGAAAGCCTCACTCCTGAATCCAGATTCAAGGACCTCCTAAGATCATCTGGCAAAGAAACGGAAAGCCAGGAAAATTAAATCACTGGAACTACTTTATGGGGATGCATAAGTTTCATCACTATTTAGCAGAGTAGGAGGCGTATTCCTTTGCATATTGATGCAGTATATGGCTGGCAAGTTGTCTGTCCTCACTTTCATACATAATCATGATGTGTGGAAGAAACAACTAGAATGTATTAATAATCAACTGAAAAACTTCATTGTGAAATGTTTGCTTCTTTACAAATTACAGACCCTGAGCAAGATTAAGTCTGTGTAAAAACTTTCTACTTCTTCCAGGAAAATGCCTGCCATAAGGACCTCCACTAGCAGGAAGGGATGAAGAGGGATACCTCAGACAAGACTCTCTGACAACTAGAAAACAACCTCCTCATTGCCACTTGTGACCAACTACTACAGAAAACACAATCTGTATGAAACTGCAGTAAGATGATCTGGCAAATTAAGTCTGCAAGAATAAGAGGCTCCACAAGCCTGAATGGCACCACATCCCCCAGGAAAGAGTCCTTGAACACAGGGCATAAAGAGTTCTGTCTCCTTCTCAGTAAGAAATCACAAGGACAAGAAAGCTGTTCTGTCATCAGGATGATTTTGAAAATACAGATGCTTAAGTTTTGGATATTTATTAAATAAAAAGATAAAAAATAAACCAAGCTCTTGCAGAATTTTCAGATGCACTTTGATAGCGTGTGTAACAATAATAAAAATCAGTGCAATATCAAACTGCAGTAACAAAATAATTACTTTTCAACACAGAAGTGCACAACTAGCAACTGTCTCTTCTCTAAAAAGTGGTCAATAACCAGAGTACTAGAAGAGAGCACTTTGTACTACTGTGCACCCAATACTGTTAAGAAAAAGAATATATATCACAAGTATGTATGTAGCAAAGGAGAGCAGAAAGTGATGGGCTGCCTTAAAGTCATCCACCTGTACCAAAACCTGGATTCCAGGCTATTAGCTAAAGAAGTAACTGAATAATGCCTTAAAGAAACTGATCCAGCTTTCATTCTTCCCTTTGTTCCCAACACTGCATCATCTTTCAAGTCTGATTTCACATTCACAGTCTAATCATGCAAATAGATCTGAAAACAGTAACAGGCAAGTAACAGTCTCAGCTATAAGAGGGTTTTATTTCCAACTATCAGAGCTTTTTTACAACTGTATTGTAATTACTTAGTCTGTTTGGACTCATCTCACTACTTTCTTGTTTCAAGCATTTTAAAAGCATATTGGAGTTACCCTCCTCTTTTTGGGAGCAGGGGGTGAGTTGTTTTTTAAGCAATGAGAACAGGACGTGTAGGCATCTACAGGAATTAGTATGTGTTTAGAATAAGATTACATTTTATTAAAACAAAATTAAAAATAAAAACAACCTTGTAACACTGAGGTTGTGACTGGTTATGCCAGCTGGTTTCATAAGTACATCTACCACCACCTGACAGTTGATCCTATTATTTGAACCACACTAATTTACCACTTAGGCGCTCTTAGCCTAGCAAATTGCAGAGTAATTTTAATTACAGTGCTCAAAGAAAAGAATGTTTTATTTTGCACTCTTCATTTGTCTCTGTTGTGAACATGCCAGCACATGATAGTTTCCCTCCCAACAGAGCATCTCCAACAGTTTCACTGCTTTCTCTGTAGGCATTACTTGATTCAGGTTTCTTTTTTCCACTGAACACACGGTTTCACACTTCATTTACAATACACTTTAGAGATTCCTCTCAGAAGGTAAAATATTGTTCCTTACAAACTCCTCTACAGTGTTTTTTTCAGTGAGCCCTGGGGTGCATCCAAATCAGCAATTCTTTTTGGTGTAAATTTTCCCTGTGCCTATGCTCAGCCTGGTGACAGGCACTCCAGTGAGCCACTGGTGGCTT